TGGGTTGGAATGCCAGTGTCGTTGCCATGGCAACTATGCAAGCATCTGGCCACAGCCATCTTTGTTGCATCAATTTGCATATTCCCTCTTTATTGGCTGTGGGTGCCACCATCTTTGAACGAAGTGATGGCCAATTTGCATATTACGTCTTTATTAGATAGGATGGATTCATGGTCAAATGCAGAAAAATTTTACAGTTATTGATATGTTATGATTTCTAGGAATGTGGTAAGGTAAAGGGTAGTATCTTTTTACTAAAACCTGCTTAAAATAAAAAATACAGAATTTTGCTGCCTTCCTAATGCTTTTGGTCTTTTCAGTTTGGGTCACTCTGAGTTGCCTGCCTTTTTGCTTCTCCCAATCACAAATAATATTTGACAAACATAAAATTACTCTTATTTCAGAAAACCCATGACCTCAAATTGAATTAAACGAATTTCTACACGTCTTATTTAAAAACTGATATTACCTTACAGTGTTATTTGAAACCTGCAAAATAAATTGGAAATAAGAAAGGGGAATGGTTGCTTTTCGTTTTAATTGCTTTTTTGGTAAACGGTTTTTGGTAACTGTTTTATAGACTGAAAATTAATATATGTGAGCTGATATTCTCTTACATGTGTTATTTCCTGTGTAAAGAGTTCTGGATATAATGCTGAAATATTTAAATTTCCATTACACTTGTGAGTTGTTACTATTGTAGGAAGGAAGCAGACAATGAGTAGAATATTTAATGTGAATTTTCTGGAAATTTTGGGATTTGGCATTGATGCATTATGATTTTATTTTCTACTCAACAATAGGTTTATTTTTCTGCTATTAAAGTGCATTGAGGACTTTAATTTTGGGGGAATAAGAAGATACAGTACAAATAAAATCTATAATAATAAAAGCATAATATGTTAATTAGACTAGACATTCTTTTAGGTAAAGCCAGAACTGTGAGGGAAGCCCAGGTTCCAGATGCCAGAGAAAAGCCAGTGCCAGCAGTTGGAGAAAGGCAGGCCTACTTTTGCATGAATTTCATGCATCAAGCCTCTAGTCCTATATAATAAAAGGGTAATATGCAAATTGACCATCACTCCCAACACACAAGGTAGCTGCCCCCATATTGTCAAAGATGGCCACCCCCATGTGGATACAAGATGGCCAGCAGGGAAGGGAAGTTGTGGGCTATTAGGCCGCCAGGGGAGGGCTGTTAGGGGTGACCAGGCCAGCAGGGGAGCAGTTAGGTATCAATCAGCCTGGCAGGGGAATGGTTAGGGGGTGATCAGGCTGGCAGGCAGAAGCAGTTAGGGGCTATCAGGCAGGCAAGTGGTTGGGAGCTACTGGGATTGGGCCTAAACGGCAGTCGGAAATCCCTTGAGGGATCCCAGATTGGAGAGAGTTCAAGATGGGCTGAGGGACACACACATACCCCCATGTACGAATTTCGTGTACTGTCGTAAGAAAAGATGGTGTGGGTTCTTAGACATTAATGTCTTGTAGGTCAATAAAAGTGGGTATTAGTATTTAAGTTAGAACTTCCTTTTCCAAACACAGGAAGTTTAACATTGAGCTCAGTAAATTGACTCTACTACTCTTTTTCACAGATTTTGGAGAACTGCCTCTTTGTTAAATCAAACTCTTTATTGCCAGGGTCTGATGAAACAGATGTCAGATGGCTAATTGTAGTAGGAGAGAAAAGCCACTAACAAAGAGATAGATCAAGAACTTGGCCTTGATATTTGAGTATCATGACGTTTTATTATCTAGGGACTGGAGCCATCAGTTGTATTGCTGTTACTATTAATGACTGCACTGCAGCTTCTTGAAGTGTAGGGTTAAGTTATATGCATGTCTTATAAAATGCATTCATTACTATTTTGAATGGAGACTTAAATAGATATAACAAGGTACTGTAAGAAAATCATATTAACTATTCTAGGTTTCTTTGTTATTTTCATAAAGTAATATAGCTAGTATTTGCTTTTCACCTGCTTGCTATGGATTTTGCTTATGTTAATTTACTGTATTACGTATGGCCTTCTGAAAATGCACAGAGGTCCATAAGCACAGAACAGCAAATGATAAGAAATACCTGAGAGGGAGCACTTGCCAGGAACCACATAAGTACTTGAAAGATTATTATTGGAAAGAAATTTTTTACAAGTAGAACAAAATAGTACCTTTTTTATAATTAATCTTTTAGGATGTGAAAGTAGTTTATTATCATAAGCCTTTCTTTACAACACTAATTTTCCAATATATTTTATTCTTATTGAACAATATTCAGTCCTAGGAAACCCTTGTCTATTTTTTTGTCTATGGATTTCATATAAATGGAATCATGCAAATCCCCAAAATGTGTTTTTTTTAGCTTCTTTTAATTAGCATACTATTTTCAAGATTCATTTATGTTGTAGCATTTATCAGGACTTTTTTTGTGTGTGTGTCACGAAATTATATTTCACTAGGGGCCCAATGCAATAGAGAATTTGTGCACAAGTGGGGTGCCTCGGCCTGGCTGGCAATCAGGGCCGTCTTGCCCAGTCTGGTTGAGAGGGACTGAGAGGTTGGCTGCCTGCCTTGATCGCCCTTTTTCGCCCAGTGCAGGGGGAAGGACTGTGGGAGGGTCACTGAGCAATTGAGCATCTGCATATCCATGAAATTCAGTTATATTAACATTGTAGTTATAATTTCCTAAAGTTTAGTACACTGTACTTTAGAGGTTTTCTTATTTTTATGGGAGTGTAGGGTCACAAACTAGCAAAAGAGAACAAGTAAATCCTAAAATTCTGTTCCATGATTAACTTTATTTTGTTAGTATGAATTTAAATGTTCTCGGGTCATTAGTGGTTTTTGTTTGTTTTTTACAATGAGTGATAATATGATAGTTAATTTTATTAGGTTTCTGTTCACTGACCAATACATGTTTGAGGAATTTCTCTAAGGAGCAAAGCATTTAGTACACCTTTTTTGCCAAATAGTAGGTAGTACCCCTGAGTAAATTTAACCCTTAATGGCAAGAGAAGCACATTAAACTGGTCCCTAGGTGGTAAGGTTAAGTGGAGAGGGTAAATATTAACTCCCATGAAACAGAACAGGGAACCATCAGAAAACATCAGGGTCTTCTCTGGTCTCATGTGAAAGCCAGAGGTTCTATGAAGAGTGTATCTTCTTGATTCTTTGCCACAAATTTTGTGGGACTGGACTCATTACAGTGAAGTGCACTTCAAGTGTGAATTCAGAGCTGAGAACCTCCCTGGCTTTAACCTATCCTTAGAAAATGAGAGGGCATGAACATGACAGCACTGTCAGGCCAGAGCCCTTCTTACTAATGCCTTTTAGCTCTTAGTACTGCCAGTGTACTTCCCTATATGAGAGGATTCTGTTCTGCCTCCGATACCAGTCAGACATTACCTTTTCTTTATAGTATGCCCGATCCTTATTAAACTAAGCAATGAGTATAATGCAATACAATTAGTGGTAGGAATGTTAAGAAGGAAAATACAAAATAAGTAAAATTTATGCAAGATAAAGGAAACAAATATCAGGGAAAATCTGTGCACATAGAATAGTCGGTAGTCATCTATACTAATAAAAGGGTAATTTGCTAATTAGACCAGGGGACCTTCCTGCCATCCTTCTGGACAAAGTCATGGTGGCGGGGCCAAGGCAGAGGTGGTTGGGGGCAAGCATGCTGACAGTGGCAGGCAGTTGGGGTGATCAGGCCAGCAGGAAGGCAGTTGGGGGCAACCAGACCAGCATGGTGGGGGGGGCAGTTGGGGGCAACCAGGCCAGCAGGGGAGGGCAGTTGGGGGTGATCAAGCTGGCAGTGGGGGACAGTTGGGGGTAATCAGGCTGGCGGGGGGCAGTTGAGGGCAAGCAGGCTGGCGGGGTAGGGGTAGGGGCAGTTGGGGGTGAGCAGACAGGCAGAATATTTAGGGGCAATCAGGAAGGCAGGCAGGTGAGCGGTTAGGAGCCAGCAGTCCTGGATTGGGAGAGGGATTCCAGATTGGAGAGGGTGCAGGCCAGGCTGAGGGACACACACACCCATTACACAAATTTTGTGCACTGGGCTACAAATCTGTATAATAAAAGCCCAAGTGACCATTATGGAACAACTGGTTGGTATGATGTGTACTGACGCTCAACACTGGAGCTACTCTCTGGTGGTCAGTGTGCTCCCACTGGGGGAGTGCCACTCTGGCTGGCAAGCGCAGTGGTGGTGGTGGGAGCCTCTCCCGCCTCTGAGGCAGCACTAAAGAGCAGAGTGCAAAGTGGTAAGGAGCCTGCCAGTAAGGATCAAGGGATCATGGGTTGCTAGAGGGATGTCCGCCAAGGGATCCCAGACTGCAAGAGGGCTCAGGCAGGGCTGAGGGGATTCTCCCCCATCCTGTGCACAAATTTCATGCACCAGGTCTCTACTAGTAATCATAAAACAAGAGATGTGTCTTTGCTGATACCTAGAACTCACTGTAAACCACTTTAATTAGGTAACTTATTAGGTTGAGAACTGAATGTCTATAAAAGACATAATCTGGTGTATGACTCACTCTAAGACAAATGCTGGTTTTAGTGCTCAAAGAAATAGTTCTTTCACATAATCTAAAAACGAGACAAATGAAATAATATGTATTTTAAATTCTGAGTTAAGAACCAGAGAGCAGGGAAACACAGTGCTAATTAATGAAGGAAACATTTGTAATGTAAGAAAACTTATACCTTAGAATTAAGTTATGGTACACACAGTAACTGTAAAGTTCAGTAAGAAGTACATATAGGTATCAAACTGGGCATTTTTGTTCTAAGTAACAAAATAGAAAAATTTTGGACCAGGACAGATTGTAACAGAAACTTTAAGATCTATCACTAATCCTGCAGATATCCAGAATTCTTTTTTAATTTGTGAAATAATGTGCAACACATTTCCAGTTTATAAGCATTTTTAGTATAAACTGATGGTATGTCTCTTAAACCAAATTACATCTTCCTTTTTTGCTTTTTCCCCCCCTCAGGAAACTTACTGGACATTCTTTCCACATTGGCTATAGCATGGCAATTTTGAACGGCATTGTAGCTGCTCTTACTGTTGCATGGTGCCTCATGTAAACCTACACTGAAACAATATTCTTGGCAAAGCTTAGTCAAGATTGCTTTGTAGTACCAGGGAAGAACATCATTGCCTACTCAGAAGACCAAGAAGCCTGCTGTTCGTTATGTGATTCAGATGTCTGCCATATCATCATTATGGAAGACCTTCTTAAGCATCGTTCTAGAGTTTAGGCACTGGGTTATCTGAATATTAAGTTTCAAGTAGTTTCTTAAAATTATAAGATGTTTACCTTATCACTTTTGTGTGTGTTATTTTTCTAAGCTGTAGAAAGCATTTTAATGGAAATCAAACTGGAAAACTTGAATACAGCATATATCTTTCCATGTGTATACTAAGAAATGCTGATAATACTGTTTGAGATAGTAGTATCTTAATTATTACGTCAGGAAAGCAAACAATGCCCACAACTTTGACATTTTATAGAAGCTACTTTTAAATCGGAATATTTAGTTGTGTGGTTTTTTTTTTTATATTCATATAATGAATAGATGGTGCATTAATATATTTTAATGGTGCATAGTTTCTTGTGTGTTTTTATTTACATATTTCCTACCCCATATTAAATTTGTATGCTTTAAAAATTATTACATCTAGACAAATATAAATGTTATTCTTTAACTGGTCCAAACTTAATACCTACCATTTTTAAATATGGCTTATTTTATTAATTTTAGAGAGAGTGGGAGAGGGAGAGAGAGAGAAGCATCAATGAGACAGAAACATCAAAATTGAAGAGCTAGCTCCCTGTATGCCCCCGAATGCAGATCAAGCCAGCAAACCTGGGCATGTACCCTGACCAGGAATCAAACCTGTGACCTCTTAGTGCATGGGTCTGTGCTCAACCACTGAGCCACCCCAGGCATAAAGTATTCTGTCTTGAAGGAAAAAAAAAAAAAGCATATTGACCTTAGTTTAAAATTAAGTAAACTTTTTAACAAAAAAAAAGTCTGATAAAAGGAAACTTATATAAGCCATTAAAAAAGGGAGAAATTTGAAGCTGTTCACTTTCTGTTTCCACAATTCCAAATTTTTTCCTGGTGTATATATGGTTACTTGAACAGAACTGATTGATTTTGGTTTTAATATCAACCCTGCTAGCAAGCACTTAATAACTAGGGGAACTTTAAATGATACATTTTATATCATTGTAACCAATAAAAACTTAAAAAGTTAACCTAGCATTTTTATATTAGAAATGTTTGAACTCATTGGTTTATTTATCTCAAAAAAATATAGTCACCAAAAATAGAAAAGGTATTTTGATACAGTGTATATATAATTTTCTATATATAGTTTTATAATTTTCCTATTTAAATGTTCTTCTATAATTGTTTTTGTTTGTATAGTAATTAAGCCTTAATTCCCATTTTCTAAATATGTATTTAGAAAGTCATTTCAATTTTTAAAAGATGGACTATTTAAAATGCTGTTTTCCCTATCCATAGAAAAACTTATATTTAGGAAAGCATTGTAAAGTAAGTAAAACTGGTTATTCAGGCTAAATGTGAAATGAATATGTACAGTCTGTTTCTGTTGTCTGCTGAGTGTTGTTACTGAATAAATGATTTAATGATGTTTCTAAAAGTCCTAACTTTTTACTACACTAATATGGTTGTATTTGTGTATGTACATATAGACATACATATATGCGGAACTATATACAAACCCATGGCTTAAGGATTCGATTCTTTTTAGAGTGGATGCTGCAGTGGATCTATTTTCACTGTGTCTTCCTCTCCTTGCCCTTCCCAACCTTGGCTCTAAAAGGCTCTTCTATTGCAAAAGAATGTGCTCTTCTATTACAAAGGTATATGCAAGAAACAAAATTAATTTTTCTTCTCTCTATCCCTTCTAATCACTCCCCCAACCCCAACTTGGGTAGCTTCTTCAACATTCTTTGTCAGATAACTAAGAAAAATACTATAGTAGACCCACTCTAAATATATACCTATAAGGTATAGATACATAGAGATATTTTTTCTGGAACCCTATTTCTTCTGCATTAGCCCTCCTCTTTCTTGAGAAATTATTCTCTTCTCTTTAGTTTATCTAGGGCCCAGATATAAGCCATCCTATTTCCACAGCTGATTGAAAGGTAAGTAACTAACCAAAGGAGATAGGTACCTAGCCAAAGTTGGGCCAATCCTAGTTTCTCATCCCTCCTGGCCATAGTGATTGCTACAGGAATGGAGATATGACTCAGATCAGGCCAGTCTTTTCCCAGGATTTTTCAACTTGAATGTAAGGTCTGATGAAGCTGGGAAGGTGATGCTGGCAGCCAGGGTTCAGCCACCCCTAGTGGGAAGGAATAAGGCTAACATGTATGCTTCTAATGACTCTCCTGTACTCCCTAAAGCCCAGTGGTGTCCCTGCCATTCTTTAAATTGGTAACATGAATCATTAAATTCCTCCCATGGTCTCTGCTATTAATACTGGGTTTTGTCATTTTTAATAAAAGGAATCAAGTGAGTTTATCTGGCAGTGGAATCCATCTCTATTTTGATACTGACTCGGATCATCTTATCTCTTTTTTTGTAGTTTACAACATTCCATTCAGTGACTTGTGAAGGATGCATTGGATATAAGTGTGCCTCTGGCCACATGAGTTTTGGAGTAAAACTAGTTATTAAATCTACTTGCTTGTCTTATCAAGAATTGATGATTATGTTCCCAAATTCAATTCTGTTTTAAGAGTTAACAGAATATTAACTTTACTTATCAAGATAAGGTAGTGTGTTTTCTACTCGCCCTTATCCATGGTTTTTTTCTTCTGCAGTTTCAGTTACCTTCAATCAACTGCAGTCCCAAAATGTTAATGGAAAATTCCAGAAATAAACATTCAATAAAAAATTCATAAGTTTAAAATTACATGCCATTCTGAGTAGCATGATGAAATCTCATGCCATTTTACCTGGTCATGAATCATCCCTTTGTATGTTATTCACCCCTTAATCATTTAGTGGCCATCTCAGTTATCAGATCAATTGTCACAGCTCCTGTTCATGTAATCCTTATTTTACTCAATAATGGCCCCTAAGTGCAGTATTATTGATGCTGGCAATTTGGATATGCCAAGGAGAAACTATACAATGCTTGCTTTAAGTCAAAAGGTGAAAGATCTTGATAAGGACAGAAAAAAAAATCTCACACTGAGGTTGCTAAAGTTATGGCCACACTATATGATAAGTGCTTAGTTAAGATGGAAAGGCAATAAATTTGTGGGTGGAAGGCATGAACTGAAAATGTGTTATAATTAAGAGCAACAAGTTTCTCCAGAAAATGAGTTTATTCAAAGACTTCTGCAAGAAATCCCCTGAAATAAGTGAACACATTCACATAGCTTTGATTACAGTGTATTGCTGTAATTATACTATTTCATTAATTATTAATATTAATCTTTTACTGTGCCTAATTTATAAATTACAGTTGGTCAAGGTATGTATAAAAAATACATAGTATATATCGAGTTTGGTGCCATCTTGAGTTTATGCATCCAGAGGGAGTCTTGGAATGAATTCCCTAAGGATAAGGGGAGACTACTATATAATGAGTCTTTAGTTCAATGAGTTTTAAATACAGTACTATTACTTAATAACAGTGCTTCTCAATTTCCTTATCTGTAAAATGGGAAGATTACCCATTCCTTACCTTTTTTATTGACACCAATCATTTTCCAAGCTCCTAACAATTCCGCCAATTTCTAATTCACTCCCGTGAATATGCACAACCCTTATTTTATACCATATTATCACAACTGGGAGGTCACGGATGCAGCTAAACATGTACAGCTCCCAGGATAGCTCCCCAGCAGAAAGAACAACAGCCAAAATGCTAATAGTTCCAAGGCTGAGAAGCCCTGTCTAGGACTAGATGAGTCAGATAGCATCCTATTCAGAATGGACATCTAGGGCAGTGTTTTTCAACCTTTTTTGGGCAAAGGCACACTTGTTTCATGAAAAAAATCACGAGGCATACCACCATTAGAAAATGTTAAAAAATTTAACTCTGTGCCTATATTAACTATATATAAAGTAATTCTCTTGAATAGGAATCAAATAAACACAAAGAAAGTATTTTATAATTACTTTATTATGAAATATTAAGTAAACAAAATAGTGAAAAATTATAAAATTCTTGTCTTGTCTGCACCTACGGCACACCAGGCAACATCTCGCCGCGGAACAGCGGTTGAAAAACGCTGATCTAGGGTCACAAGGTTACCTTGAGCCTAGGTGTTCATTCTCAAAAAGGTAAAGTTGAAAGAGCTATTTCTCAAAAGGAAAGATTCATTAGCTTAAGAGGAGTTGTCTCTGTGCCATTCCCCTATGGTCCTGTCTGGCAAGGGCCTGTTTTCATACTCAAGGGAAAAAAATGTGTCCACAAACTTCATATACAAAAATTCTATTGTTAAATTGGAAGCTGAGACCACATTTGACCATTTCAAGTCCATTAGAGCACTATGCATTCTCAACTGAATGAGAAATGGTTGTGCTACATTAAAAGGGATGATTTTTGAAGTATTATCATGGGAAATAGTGGGTAGGTGTATACTGGACAAGCAAAGGAGTATACTCTAGTAGGTATGTTACCAGTTATTGTCTTAACATATTTTTATTGATTTCAGAGAGAAAGGGAGAGGGAAAGAAACATCATTGATGAAAGAGAATCATTAATCAGCTGCCTCCTGCACTCCCCACATTGGAGATTGAGCCCAGCTATGTGCCCTGACCAGGAATCGAGCAGTGACCTCCTGGTTCATAGGTCAACACTCAACCACTAAGCCACGCCAGCCAGGCAGTATGTTACCAGTTTTTGACTGCTCAACCCCAAAGTCTATCCTTACTTTGGGAGACTTAACTTGTTATGTGTTTGTGGGAAGCAAGGTTCTACATAGCCATAGAGAGGGCTAAGAGGTTAGATATTTTTCTGCCAAACTTTGCTAGTATGTAACCTTGATGGGGGCTACCAATTGCACAGTTCAGCCCAAGTTTTGAGTTGTGAACGAACAGCAGTCACTGACCGAAAGCTTACAATTCATTTATAGTTGTGCCATTCTGTGGCCATAGCAGTGGTTTCTAGGTCTGTTCTGCAGTTATTGATACAATCCTAATTAGAATGTTTTGAAGCACACCTTAGCTATAATCTCTGCTACAAAACTTGTCATTTTATGATCCTGGTTTTATGGCCTTTCCTTTGATCCTGTGAGCTATTCCCTAGCATTATAATAAAAATATTTTCCTTTTAGCTAGCTAAAGATAGATTTTGGTGTTTAAAACCAAGAACCAAGAAGTCACTGTTTACCAATTCCACTTCTACCTGTCCACAAACTTCTTATAAAAACTTTGTTCCACTGTAATTTCTGCCACCTGGACTTATTTCTTTTACTAATTTGTAGAAATTAGCATATGCTATCTAGCCTTATTTCATAATGACCCATCTTCCTAAAGAGTCTTAGACTTTTTTAATGTAAATACCTAGGCTAAAGCTTATACCACACAGCAGGTGTTCAATATCTGTGTATGGAGTTACAAAGTGGTACAAGAAAAAAAAATGAAAAAATAACATTGGAAGCAATAACTTTAGATCTTGTGTATCTTATAAGTACATATATCGGCAATAAGTGATACTACACACACATAAGTGTTTCCTGTGCTAGTACAAATATCTTTCATACAATACTAGAATTTTGCTTTCAAAAATAAAAAAGGCAATAGGAATTGGTCATAAGAATAATTTAAAAAATACAATGTATCCCTGGATTTCCTTTATATATGGCCATTTGTAGTGCTACCAAACAGCAGATATATGGTATAAGTAAAGGACAATCAGAATGTAATTTATTCAGACTTTCATAAATTAATACATTGAAACCAGCCTCCATAAGAAAGTAATATTAAATATTGAGGCACTGGAATACAGATCTAAATTATACAAAAGTACAGGTCACTTCTCTGAATAAAGAAGTATCTAGTGCTCAGAATAATATTTTTACTTCTAACCTTAAAAAATTGTGCTCAAGAAAATGTCCAAATTTGCAGATGATATTAAGCTCTCCTGAATATTGGAATTAGGAAAACTCCACAAGAATATCCCAGAACACATATAAGTAAGCAGCAAAATGACAAATGTTTGACAATGGACAACTGGTAACATGGGGGGGGAGAGGGGGGGCCGGCCACAAATGTACATGTAAGAAACCACCAAAAAAGTGTTAGAAACAAATTAGAATACATTCTTTGAACTAAAGCTCTGGCTTCTGCTACTGAAGAAAGCTCAGTAACGTTTCAAATCAATGATGAAAATATAGACCTAGAGTTTGCAAGTAGTAGTTTTAGAAGAAATTCCTCAGTCCATTGCAGACTTATTGAGTTTTTACCTATAGATAAAAATCTATATAGCTTGATAAAGGTTTATAAAACCATAAATAATGAATGCTGCAGTTTGTAAAGGTAGAATGCTTCAGAGATATAATTAGTCTTGTGAAGGGGGTTGTTCTGGCAAGGAGCCATGTGCTGTTATGTGCTACTGCTAGCAGCCTGTTCACCCTAGCAGCCTGTTCTTTCCCATGAAACTTAGTAACTGTT